CACAAAAATCAGAATATTCACAATATAAAGACCCACGGTCATGCTAGACACCAACTTATAGATACTCGTCACCATGCCTATACGTCGTACTCAACAAGTATCATATAGCAAATAGGACTCAACTCCTAATCCCTTAAGCTAAGGTTAGACCAAACATTTACCTCAAACTTTCACGGCCAAATCAATCCTCAATTACGACTTTTCCTCTAGAATTTGGCTCCAAATCGATTGTATCTATACAATAATGACTTCAATACATCAATAAATGCTAAACAATGCGAACCCAATGCCTACTTATAGCTTTCCAAGCATTCTTCCCAAAATCTCAAAAATCGATCCCGGGTCCGCTTGGTCAAAACACGAGGTTCGGACCAAAATCAAATCACCTATTCACCCACGAGCCCGAATATAAATTTGTTTTCAAATTCGACCCCAAAACGAGGTCTAAATCAAGAAAAATTAAAAAGCCCTAACTCTACCCAAATCCCTAATTTTCTACCCTTAATCAGATGTTTTAGGCCTAGAAATTCATTAGATGTTGAGGAAAATGGAAGAAAATAAGTTGGAGATTACTTACCCAAGAAGTTTTGTGAAAAAGTGCTTCAAGGATCGTCTTGGAGCTTTGGAGAAGAAGTTTTGTAAAATTTTGAGAAATCCCGTTTGCATTCTGTTTTTAAAACTTAAAATAACTGGGTGATTTAAAGCTACGCGTTCGCGATGGGTCAAGCCTTTTGGCCTTCGCGTTCGCGTCAAGGGGCTCGCGATCGCAAAGTTATAGCTTCTCGAGCCCTCGCGTCCGCGTGCAAACGAACGCGTTCGCGATGAACAAATTGGGTGGCCCTCCCCTAAACCCTACGCGTCCGCGAATGTAGGGCCGCGTTCGCGAAGGGTTTCCCCCCTCAGCTACGCGTTCGCGTCCCAAAGCTCGCGTTCGCGATGAAGAAACTGGGCACCTGGGATCTTTGCCTTACGCATTCGCGAGTGGGACCACGCGAACGCGAAGAACAAATTCCATGTGCACTGACTGCAGAAAACCTGCAACTTTTACAAGGCTAAAACCATTCCGAAATACTCCCGAGCCCTCAGGGCTCCTAACCAAACACACGTACTAACTCAACAGCATCATACGAACTTATCCATGCGATCAAATCGCCAAACTAACCTCAAAAACAATGAATCAAACCTCAAAATCAAGAGTTTTTTTTTTTTCAAAAACTTCATCAAGTTCTAATTTAAGATTTCAAGTCCGAAACACGTCAAACGACGTCCGATTTTAACCAAACTTTACAGAAACATCTTAGATCATATATAAGACCTGTACCGGGCGCCGGAACCAAAATACGGGCCAGATACCAACATGTTTTAATCAAATTTCATTTCAATTTTCCTTAACAATTTCAAAAAACAATTTTTACTTAAAAATTCATTTCTCGGGCTTGGGACCTCGGAATTCGATTCCGGACATACGCTTACGTCCCATATTTTCCTACGGACCCTCCGGGACTGTCAAATTACGGGTCCGGGTCCGTTTGCCCAAAATATTGACCAAAGTCAAACTTATTTATTTTAACATCAAAACTTAGCATTTTTCACAAAATTTCATATTTAAGCTTTCCGGCTACGCGTCCGGACTGCGCACGCAAATCGAGGTGACTCTAAATGAGGTTTTCAAGGCCTCGAAAGCACAAGATGGATAAGAAAATAGGTAATGACCCCTTTGGATCGTCACAACATCCTTATAAACTGAAAAAATATATAATTATACAACATCATACACAAATATACACAATTATACAGTACTATATAAGTGTATATAAACACCACTTATACAATATTTCCAATAGAAAATATAGAATGTCCAACACTACACTTACTATAAATAATGTATTAACTTGTATAAACATGTATAATAGTGTATAAGAGGTGTTTGTATATCCATATACACAATTATACACTATTATACAGTGTTGATACAAACTGTTACATAGTTATGATTTTTTATCCAAGCCTCGAGTTGTAGTAGAAGGTATTGGATGATTCAACTCGTCAAGAGGTTACAAATTTTGCGCCAACGATTCGAAATTCAACACACAGATAAGATACACCCAATTTTAGATTCGAGACTTCAAGGTCATAATAATAATGACCAGAACTTCAAAATCTTCCAAATTAGTGGTTATTTTTGGTGCAAATCAAGTTTGAGAGCTATTTATTTTCAGATTTGTGTGTATTTTTATTTTTCTGTCAAAAATCTTCAATATTCTTCTGCTTGCCGCCATGGACGACAGAGTAGGAGCCGGAGCCTTCTTCGAGCCATTGATGGCAAAACTGCGTAGGGGGTAGAGGAGGGGGAATAGTGGGGACTGGGTTAAGAGAGGATGAGGGATCTATGTGGGTTAGAAAGAAATAAGCGAGAGGCAGTGAGAGAGATTTGGTGTGCTGGGAATGAAGAAAGAAGAAAATAATAAAAACCCTAAAAGTGTGTCTTTAATAATGGGCTAAAGGCTAAAAAATTTCTTTCAAGTTATGTACAACATGGGCTAAATAGGGTAAGAGCTTCAAATCTGGGCCATTTTCGATTGAGCTGTTAGGCCAAGTGACGAGGGCCGTAATTCTTTCTATTTAATTTATATTTCAGTAATTGAGACGATAATGGTAGAGGTGAAAAAATAGTAAATGATTTCCCTTTTTTCTTTCTAAACTGTCAATATTTTGTAAAATAAGAAAGTTAATATTTGTAGCCGGGAAAAATAATTACTATCTAAATTCCAGTTGTAAATTGAGAATATGTCATTTATTAGGTTTTACCATCTTATATTAGAGAATAAGTTGGACTTTTTCTTTATCTTAATTACCATTCTGAATTTAAGATTTAGTTTTGAATTGATTGGATTTTTCAAAGGATAATTAATGTAGCTTTCCAATTTTTAACAAGGAATACTGAAGTACAAATTTTAATTTATCATGATATTTGCCTATCATTTATAAATTCATATCTGCTACTGGTATTTATTAATCGGACTCATTAAACAGTATCTTGAACTGCGATTATAAACCTTTTTTGATATATATATATATATATAAATATATATATATATTTACCATAAACAAAGATGAGTGAAATTCATTGATATTATTTCCAAAAGCGTCATTCCCAAAGCATATCCAGCAGATTCATTTCAATGTTTTAGGTGTCACCTTTCTAAGTTAGCCACGTGTGATTATGACATCCGTCCTAAAAGACAAATTTGACAAAACATGCAACATAGGAACAACCCATGAGAGTTGTGAATTCTTGAAATATCAATATTTATAAAACCATTAAAAATAGTTATTATTTTGCTAGAATACGAAAAGTTTCAGTATAATATACTAGATTATAGAGTTTATGTGTATAGATTTTCAGCATATTATGTTGGAACTTCAGCATACGGAAAGTTCCAGCATAATATACTAGATTATGGAGCTCCTGCGTATAAACTTTTAGCATATTATGCTGGAACTCCAGCACATTATGAAATTCTAACACATTATGCTGGAATCTCATACGTAAGAAATTCAAGCTCCAGCATATTATGCTGGAATTTTTTCGAATTTTTAAGAGTATTTTTGTTCAAATTTTATTTTTATATGAAAAAGTAACTAAATTTTAATTACTTTTAAAATTGTGGCTATTTTTCAATTATCAATTGTAAATCTAGCTATTTCTGATTTTTTTCCCCTTCAATTCTTCTATCCCATCCCTTAACTGGGTTCAACTAAACCCAATATTTTTTATGCATAATATACTGCATGTCTATGGGGACGAAGCTAATTAAGAGGAATTCACCTTCGTTAGTAAACTACTCTATACAAATAGAACAAAAATGATAGTTTTTGTTATATACAAAGAGAGCGGAGAAGGGGACTTTTGGACCAACGATAAAATTGCCTTCGTGTATCTATAAGTCACGAGTTCGTTACATTATAGTAAGCTATTTATTTCATACCTCTTAAGAGACGACCTCTCCCCAAACTCTATGTGAACACGGATTATTTTATACACCAAATGATGCTTTTTGGATAGGAAGAACTGATGAATCTCCTTGACTATGGGTGTGCATTTGAATCGGTTTATCGATAAATCGAATCGATTATTTGTTATCGGTTTATCGGTTTATCGATTTCGATTTTGAAATTTTCCTTATCGAGTTATCGATTTCGATTTCGATTTTGTCCTCTTCGGTTATCGGTTTATCAATAAACCGATAAGATATACTAAAAAGACAATTTTTATACCGATAAGGGGGAATGAGTTTATACCGTTGGAGTGTTGGTGTCATACATTTGATCCCTTACTTTAGTTTCGTAGCATGTGCTTGTTGACACTATTTTTATGTTATAAATGGTGTTCGTCTTATTTTAGCTTCTTTTTGTCCATATTAGTTAGGCGTATTTATAGCGATATACTTTCCGTGGAATCACGCAAATTTTCTTATTGGTGTAATCGATAACCGAATCGATAAGCCCCAAAAATCGATAAATCGAAATCGAAAAAATCGAAAAAATCGAAACCTTATTGAAACGATAACGATAAACATATGTACAAATCGATAATCGATAAATAATTATCGATAAGGGTCAAAATCGAATCGATAAATCGAATGCACACCCGTATCCTTGACACGAAGAAATATTCTCAAATAGCTGTACAGGGGATTCAAAAGTGTTTTTGTTTACAAGTTCAAATGACAACATATGACATTCTAATATCTCTTCAGAATCTCTTTTTGTATAAATTTTTGGTTTCATCATTAGATATTTATGTAAAAAATTACTTATTAAACTTCAATAAATATAAAATATTATATTATCAAATTTAAATCATAAATTCGTAAAATTACTACAACTTAGTCAAAACATGAAACTTAGTTAGAGAAACTGCCTATTATGAGAGTTGAATAAGATTTTCGTAATCGTGAAATCCTAGAAATTCACCTTCATAACCCCCCACNTAAGCGCCATTGATTCTTCACTTTCATATGATAGACCAAAAGCAAGAAACTCCATCTTTCTATCTTTATCTGATGATCTTGATTCTTCTTCTCCTCAACAGGTAATTAGTATTAAACCCTCATTTCAGTTCCATTATTATTATATTCTCACTCCCTAAGATATGTGTTTTTGTATGTAATTATCAACATCTTGTTTTTTTTTAAAAATTTATTTTAATTTAGTAGAAGAGAAACTTAGAGCAACGGTAAAGTTGTTTCCGTGTGAGCTATAAGTAATGGGTTCGAGCCGTAAAAATAACTACTAATGTCTGCATTAGGGTAGATTGTTTACATCTCCTAACCTTGCGTGAGTGCGAGATATTTTATGCATCGGACCGTCTGTTCGTAGTAATTGTTAATTATTTCGGTACTTCTATATGTCGTTTGAGATATTGACATAGTTATTAAGAGAAGTATTTAATAACATTAATCATAAAAAGAGTATATTTGAGTAGATTATATGTATCTCTTCCTTAAATGAGTTATTAATTACTAAATACTTTCTTGAAGTATTTTAAATGACAAATATTTTGGAATATATTTTATTTATTAAGGAACACATAAAAAGGACGAAAGTAGTACACTTACATTGGCTTCATCGAAAGTTACAAGAATTTGTTGTCAGTGTATTTAATTTACTATCTGTAATTAGTCATTGGCGGTGGGTATAATTGAGGAGGTTGAGCTAAATAATTTATATCATATTCACCGTCTAGCCTAACATGATCACTTAAAAAAACTGGCATTATCGACAACTTTATCGCTAATTTATTATTAAATCGGTCATAGTTAATAGAATTTTTTGATAATTTATTATTAATTTATAACTAAATTAAATTAGCGATGAATTTTCCTATTTAACTACAGAATTTGTTCGTCGCTAATTTCTATCTTTTAGTGGGGATATTTTATTTCTATGTTAATATTGACGATGTGTGTGTGTTTTTCCTTCTTATTTCTTTTCAATTGTCCTTGGTACAATTTATTCTTAAGTTTGGCCAACGAGATAGTAGGCCACCACTAAGTATGTTTGAAAATGAATAAAACAAATAGCAAAGCAATTTAATCTGGATTTATTTAATGGTATACTGTTAGGAACAAATTCATAACCCTACTTTTATACCGGTCCAATGACACAAAATTACAAAATTTTAAGTCCTTTCCATTTTAAACAGCAACTAGAACAATGACTCTTAATTCAACAAAAACGAATATTTGAAACTAATTGTATATTGCATTATCAATATTTTCTATTGTAAATATAAGTAAATTGGTATACTTTCTTAACAACTAGTATTAGGCGCGGATGCGTGAACACTAATCATGTCAAATATTTAAGTTATTTGGATTGTATTTAAGTAATCTTAAAATTTATATTTTCTCAGTAAATATAGATAATCATTGGATATTAACCACATGAAAAAAAACTAACCATTTCTTCTATTTTTCTTTTTTGATACCATTCTTGCCGGTGTCATTGGATCCTAAAAATAGTTAGGAAGCAAAATAATAACTCATATTTATGGTAAAATAATCAAATGTTGAGACTATAAATGACTCTTTGGATAAGACTTAACTCTTTTACTACTACTTGAACTCTTATTTGGTGTGTTGAGATCTCTTAAAAAATATTTTTTTCTTAAAATTTCAGTTTCTAAAACATTATTTTTCTATAATAATTATTTTTATAAGAATGTAATTGAAAATATTATTCATAATTCAAAACTCATTTTATTTGTCTATCTAAAAATATAAAAAATTCTTTAGCTAGTGAATTTTTTTTACTCCATTTTGATATTTGACATTAACCATGTTAAATATCTGAGTTATTTGAATTATATGTAAATAACCTTAATATTTAAACCTTCTAAATAATTATAGATAATCGTCAGATATTAATTAAGAAACACTACATGAAAAAAGACTAACATTTTCTCAATTCTCGTAGTGATAATTTTATTTTTGCACTATTCTCATAGGTGTCATTGGAACCTAAAAATAGCCACAAAGTGAAATAATAACTCATATTTATGGCAAAGCACAAAGGTTGACACAATATAAATGATTCTTTGATTACGACGTGACTCTTATACTACGACTTGCACTCTTATTTGGTATGATTTTATCTTTCAAAAAATATTTCTATTTTAAAACTTCAATTTCTAAAACCTTATATATATTATAATAATGATTATCTTTATAATGATGCAAGTGAAGATATTTCCTTAATTTAAAATTTACTTTAATGGTCTATCTAAAAATTTAAATGATTCTTTGGCCGGATTTCTTTCAGTATGACTCCATTTAAATTTATCGATGTCTCTAGCCCTAGAATTTGAATTTTTAATTACCTATATATACAAAAAAAAAATTGTTCTTTGAATCATTAAATGTTACATTACTTGATTATTATTATAAAACATTGCATATATTGTCTTAAAATTATCAAGTAGTTTATTTTTCGACACCATACTTGGCATAACCTTAATGTAAACTACTCAAATTGCATTCCAATTCAAATTCATATATCATATCAGTTTGTTAGTAATAATGATTTTTTAAAAACGACACACAATGTAAATTAAAAAAAAAATCTAAGATATCCTTATCTTATAATCTATGTATTTGAGTTGAAAAAAATATATATGAAATCGATGAGATTAACTTTCAAATTTTTATATTCAACCAAGATGAAACATAAGAAGGAACTTGTTGTCATCTTTTATTTCTCGTTTTTAGATCTGTCTAACATTTTTTTTCAATATTGATTTTCTTTTATCTTATTTTTCATGTCATTATTTCTTTTGTTACAAAAAATTAATTTATTTCACTATAAAAGGATGAGTTTTAATAAAAACTTTTTACATATGAACTTTAATTATATTTTTAGTCTTTGGTTGAAATTATTTCATATTTTTCTTTTGGCTTATCTAATCAGCCTAAATAGGTGCTCACCCAACCACTTAAATTAAAAAATTGAATGATGTGTAATTTATATATAATCCATATATAATATGTGTATAATCGTATGTTGTCAGTATATCATCTAGTTATATTAGCTATAAAAAGTAAACAGTAAATATGGCCGGATATTATGTAAATATTCCATAAGATTTCGATTTTTTGAGTTTATCCATGATATAAATTCTATTATAATAATAGTAAAACTCTCTACTATTGTTCAAAAATATTTTATATTTTTATTTTCTTTGAATTAAAAAAATAAAGAGTTTTTTCGAAATAATTTGTTTACATTTAAAAAATATATATTTCACGTCACACCAATTTTTTCTTTATATATACTCTTTGTTACACTTAAAAGTCACTATAGAAACTATCAATTAGAAACAAATTTATCTTTTGTTGAGTTTGAAAAAAAAAAACCTTTCACATAACCTAATGATTCAAAACTAATATTCTTTAACGAAAAAAATATTATGCCCTTGTAATATTGGCTTAACTACAACTAAATGAAGGGGTTTTAGCTTATACCCTTCAATTCATTGAATGTGCTAAATTGAAATTAATGATAGCAATTGTATAGTCAAAGTTTTGTTATTTGTTTGATGTCCATTTATGCAAATTGACTCTTCAAACAAATATTCTTCAAGAAGAAAAAAGAAACAACTTTTTTTTAATATTAACTGATTTTGTGATGTTTCTTTCTCCATCATGTATGTTTACTTTATTATATATGTAGGTAAACTTTTATTAGGTTCTGTAAACTCTTTTTTGTTATTTAGATAAATATAGACGTCTACCCTATATATTACATTTATTTTAAAAGAATTTTGTTTTATTCAAATCTAGCTATAGTGTTTCAAAGAACTATACTTATAGAATTTTAAATGTGAAAGAGTTTTATAGTTATATGGGGTAGTTTTTTTTTTTTTGGCTAGAGGCGAAGTAATATTTAAATAATTAGAAAAAATAACAAAAGTTCCTAATATGATTGCATATGATCATTAACCGAANAATATAAAGTTTTAGTGAGTTAGATTCACACAATTCAACCTGATATTAGTGAAACAAAAGCTCTTAAGTCTCATCGGGACTCATGTTCTTAAAGAGTAGCCCGGTGCACGAAATTTTTTGTATTCATGCAAGATCCGGAAAAGAGCTTCACCCAAAGGGTGTGATATAGGTAGCCCTAAGTTGCTCCGACATGTCAGTTCAGATGTTGCACCCGTATCGACACAACACTAGTATGGGTGTGGGTATGGGATCCGTATCAGATATGGTCATATGATTTTGGGTACTTTGACCATGCCAGATGAAAAAATTCGATACGAATTACAATAACCAAAACTAGGGAAGAAAATAACATACCTTATGTAGGAAATCAATCATTTACTTATTTATAACATGAGAATAAAAAAGAAATCAACACTTTATAAGTTATACGTAAGTATTGCTCAAAATTCTTCATAATATAGAGGTGTTTTATATTTTTATTTTTTTTGAGCTATTTTTAACCGGATACTCGCACCTGTATCCATATTAGGGTCTCCCAAATATTAGAATTTACATATCGAAGGATTCGCACCCGTGTGGGACATCCGCACTCGTGTCCGAGCAACTTAGAGGCAACATACCCTGATGCAAGAATCAGTGTGTTATTCCACGGCTCGAACCCGTAATTAATAGGCTACTTTCATGTTCTTAACATGTGAAAAGAAAAAACAACTCAGCACATGGGTTTGGGATTAATAGAAGTGAAGTTTACATAACTACAACTTTATAGAAAGTATATTTCATCATTTGCAACTGGCTATTGATTTACATATTATACAACATCATTATCTCTATTTTACATAATTAATATATATTTAAATTAAAAGAATTTTTCTCCAAACTATACTAAATGAAGATTATTTTGAATTTAAGGGATTATGTGTTAGTTGGCATAATCCCTATTTTCAAGTCCCATAATGAGATATTTTAGGCATATTAAAAGTTGTATCTAATTTAATTATAAAGTTAAAAAATTGTACTAAATTGTATATAAAGTAATTTTTTAAAAGTGGTTGTATTTCTTATAAATAATTCTTTCGATCGTTGTATTCAAGGTAAATTTCTCTTAATAGAAACCTAATATAAATCCCTAAGACAAAACGCTCTGATATATTATCTCATAGTTTAAGCTTTAAAATGTACGGTTAGTATTACAAATTTAGCCATCTCACACTTTCAGGTGCATATTTCCATGGTTGGTGAAGACAAGATGAGGATTTCATGGATTACCGAAGATTCCGGCACGCCGGCGACGGTACAGTACGGTACAACTCCGGGAAGCTACCCATTTTCAGCAAATGGGGACACTACATCATACAAATATATTTTGTACAAGTCTGGCGAAATTCATAATGTTGTTATTGGGCCTTTGAAGCCCAATACCATCTATTACTACCGTTGTGGCCCAGATTCAAGCCCTGAGTTCAGTTTCAAAACTCCTCCAGCTGGATTTCCTATCAAGTTTGCAGTTATAGGTACTAGCCCTACCTGAATTATTTTGAGATTGTTACATAAATAGCCGGCTAAATTTAAAATTTACTTTTTCTAGCCGGTATACATAGATTACATATTGATTATACACAGTTATATATATTATACATCCGCCGACTATTTTTAGTTTAAGAAATTAAATGGGTGGCTATTTAGGTTAATTCTTCAATTATTTTTAGCGATCCTAACACAAATAGCTGGCTGAATCCGCTGTTTATTTGTCCTAGACGGTATACATAAATAGATTATACCCTGATTATACACAGTTATACATATATTATACATATTTCGACTACTTTTAGTTTAAGCGGTCGGGTGGACGACTATTTAGGTTAATCCTCTTTAACAAATATTTATATTTAGTTTTAATTGTAGCATATAACATACTGTATTATCCGCTTTATCAGTTTACACTTGATTGTATAAGAATTCTTTATACTGTCAACATAAATAACTCAAAATGGGACGGAGGAAGCTCTATAATATGATATGCATTGCCTCTTTTCAAGCTTATGTTCGAGTGTATCAAAATTTTACAGTTAGACTAATAAGTAAATATATGTGAATTACAGGTGACTTAGGGCAAACTGAATGGACAACATCAACTCTTGATCATATTGCAAAATCAAACTACGACGTTTTGTTATTGCCCGGGGACTTATCGTACGCGGACATGATCCAGCCGCGATGGGACTCGTTTGGCCGGTTGGTGGAGCCGCTCGCGAGCCAACGGCCATGGATGGTGACTCAAGGCAACCATGAGGTTGAGAAATTTCCAGTGGTTCATAGCCAACCCTTTACTGCCTATAATGCAAGATGGCTCATGCCATTTGAGCAAAGTGGTTCAACTTCAAACTTATACTATTCCTTTGAAGTTGCTGGAGTTCATGTCATTATGTTGGGCTCCTACACTGATTTTGGGCCTGACTCGGCCCAATACAACTGGCTCGTTACCGATTTGAAGAAAGTTGATAGAACAAAAACTCCATGGTTGGTTGTTCTTTTGCATGCACCATGGTACAATTCTAACACTGCTCATCAAGGAGAGCTTGAATCTTATGGTATGAAATCATCTATGGAGGATTTACTCTACGAGGCTCGTGTTGATATCGTGTTTGCTGGGCACGTTCATGCCTACGAGAGATTCGTAAGCTTTTTTTTCATTCTTAGATCTCTTTATTTTTCTTTCTGGATCATTAGCATGCCGAAGGTCTATCGGAAACAACATATCTACCTTCCCAGGGTAGGGGTAAGGTCTGCGTACACACTACCCTCTCATACCCACTAATGGGATTCCACTGAGTTTGTTATTGTTGTTATTGAGGATGATCACTAGGATGTCGAAAGTCTATCACAAACAGCTCTCTACCTTTCCAGGGTAGGGTAAGGTCTGTGTACACATTATCCGCCCCATACTCCACTTGTGGGATTCCATTGGGTTGTTCTTGTTGTTGTTGATGATGATCACTAGGATGCCGAGAGTCCATCGGAAACAACTTCTCTGTCTTCCCAGATAGGGTAAGGTCTGTGTACACACTATTCACTCCAGATTCCACTTGTGGAATTCCACTGAATCTATTGTTGTTGTTGATGATCACGGGGATAGTTTCTTGACAAAATAATCACCTCTAATATGTGGAAAATCTTGAAATGACTATCAATTTCATCACAAAAGTAAATGTGAGATTATTTCCTGACAATTAATTCTTTCTTATGTTTTAATTTGTGATATAGACTCGAGTTTACAAAGACAAAGCTAATAATTGTGGTCCAATATACATCACAATTGGAGATGGTGGTAATAGGGAAGGTCTCGCTAGCAAGTAAGTTTGACCCACAAAGTATTCCGCGTTTAATTTCTTATTTCACTTTTTGAAATATATTGACTTTTTTTATTGATCAATTAATATAGGTACATAGATCCACAACCAAAAATTTCACTATTCAGGGAGGCAAGTTTTGGACATGGAGAAATTGATGTGGTAAATGTAACTCATGCAAAATGGACATGGCATAGAAATGATGATGATGAAGCTGTTGTTGCTGATACTATTTGGATAACAAATCTGGTTTCTAATTCCCCTTGTAAAATATAAAGGCAATATTCAAACTGAAACCAAAAAAAAAAAAGGAGAGAGAGAGAGAGAGTAATGAAAAAATACTTGTGAGATTGTAGACTTAGAAAAGAATTTGAAATTCAACAATGATGATAGTATAATTCTAGTTTCATGTCCATGGAAAAAGGACCAGCTCAGTTTCAAACTTTGCTATGAAGTTGGCTTTTTGTTATTTTCTTTATACCTAAATAGTTCAATTATAAAATAACTGAACTGTTAAACGGGAGCCTTGGTAACTGGTAAAGTTGTTGCGATGTGACCAGGAGGTCGAGGGTTCGAGCTGTGGAAACAACATGTTGCAGAAATGCAAGGTAAGACTGTGTACAATAGACCCTTATAATCCGATCCTTCCCCGGGATCCCGCACATAGCAACTTAGTGCATTGTCTGCCCTTTAGTTCAATTATAAAACAAAGAAAAGAATGATGGATCTCTATTCTTCTTTAAAAGGTCGTTTCATTACCAGAATGGGACAGATAACGATATCCCATGAGATTAGTTATCCCACCTTCTATATGGGATAGCTAATTCCATCATTTTAATACAAAATGGTTCCGAGATTGATAATTAATACCCACACTCAAATGCTGGATAAAATAATTTTCTATTTTGTTCCCGAATTGATTATCCCTTATCCTACTAACCAAAAGACCCCTAATACTGTATCAAATTAAAATTGTATTCGGATGTTTAATTGCGAACTTATTAACTAAGACGAGCTACAAGCTAAGCTCATGCTGCAATGTTTTCATTTTTCTTTAATGAGATTATTCTACTGTTTCATTATGCTTTTGCCTGTAGATAATCCAGTATACTACACTTATACGTCTCTTAAAATTCCAGCAGTTTCCTTTAATTTCGTGACAATGTCAATGTAAGTCAAATTAGATCCTTCATCCAATCCCTGTGTAGCTACATTCATTTTGATCAAATCATGGAGTATATGGTTGACATACGTTAAGCTGTGGCCCTGTAAATTAGCAGCAAAGCTAATGTAAATGGACCTTTTTCAATTTGGCCAACAAAATGTTTGCATAACATTATTCCACAGTGAAAAGGAATAAAGAAATAGACAGCTTGATCCCTTTTCATTGTTCTACTGATTTTTCATATTGCTTTCCATATTAATTACCTTAAATAATGACAATACTTGTTCAGGAAGGTGAGGGTCTATCGGAAATAACCTTTTTACCTTGTATAGTGGTAAGGTCCACGTCCACTCTACCCTCCTCAAATACATATATGGGATTATACTGATATGTTGTTGTTGTTGTTTTTCTGGAAGGCAACTTGTTTTGGTTATATGTAGTTTAAGACAGGGAAATTGGTCTCATATGATTATTTTGAGAATTGAGAAATTCTAGGGAGCCAGCTAGCAGAGCCGGATTCAGGATTTGAACTTTATGGGTTCAGATTCGCAATTCTACCATAGTATATCTAATTTAATGGGTTTCAAATTTATTATTTGTATATATTTAATATATTTTTGGGCAAAAATACAGAATATGAGCGAAAACTATGGGTTCAGATGAACCCATAGCCTCTACACCAGGTACGCCTCTGCCAGCTGGCACATGTTCAGAAACTCGGTGAATAATTGGGCTTGTGCCTTTACTATTCTCTACTTAACTACTAAGTTCTTTTTTGAAACAGAGTTTAAACACCATCAGTATTGTATAGGTCAAAATCTGAACAGAAGAATCTTACTTAAGGAAGGACGACCAAGAGTCAACCAAGTCGAGGTCACGTATGGGAAGCAATACACCAACGAGTGATTCAGCTACGGTCGAGGTCGAGCATTCAATTCGGCCTGAACGGCTAGTTCAACACTTTGACATTTTAGAGGAATATTCCACATGATATTCCAAAAACTTAGGAACTCCAGTTAAGGAACGTTGGATAAAGAAAGTGTTTTTCTATAAATATCATGGGAGAGCATAACTGAAAGGGAGCTGAAAAGAACTCACACATATATAGACATATCTCTAAAGATGAAGAGGGATCTTCATCTCAGGCTTCTCGCCAAGAAGAAAGGAGAAAAGAAGCTTAGAACCTCGATATTCATCATTAATTTAATTAAATATCAAATATATGGGGGTCAGCCTTGTTCAAGAACGATGACTCTTTTCATTTATGTATTCTTCGTTATCATTTAATATTATTGAAATCATTATCCTTTTCTTACATTATAGGATTCAATCATAACTATAATCAAATTTTATGTCCAGCTATGCTATTTTATTCTTATCTTCTATCTCAGATCTAGGATAAATTATTTTTGGCTAGGATTTACCTTAAATCTTCCTATTTAATTAGTTTAACAAAAAGGTTTAACACTTTTTAGTCAAACAATTTGGCGCCGTCTGTGGGGACTTTCTAGCCAAAGTTTTTGTTTCCTCTAGATCTAGTCAGTCAGAGTTCCACTTCCCGTTTATCGTAGTTTCGCCCTCTCTTTACAAACACCAACTTGAGAAATTTGTAGGCAAGCTCTTGAAATAGCCGGACCAACCAAGGTTGGATCTTTACACGAAATCGCAATTATATTTGATATCTACACGAAAGTCACGTCTTGTTGTAGGGATGAGTCTGGTATATCATGAGCGTGAGTTGTCAAAGTAGGATTATGGCCACTTCGCACTAAGCACGTCCACAATCTTATTGCTATATTAACGATTAGATACCAATCTATACTTTACACACACTGCCCTCTCTCTCTCAGGAAGGAATGATAGCCTATTGTGTAATTCTTTGAAATAACAAACTTGCCTTGCCCGTATGTTTGCCCTGGATCGGACCGGGACTCGAGCTCGAGATCCCAACGGGCGAAGTAAGTTGTCAGTCCATAAGATGCCTAGATTCGACTAATGACGAAGCTTAACACGAGGCCGAGATCAGACCTAAAGCCAACATTCGAGTACGGATCAAAACGAGTCGTTCTACAGTGCCTCTCTCTCCTCGCCAACCAATCAAGTCGAGGTAACAAACGATTTCATTTAGGTTTAACTTGTTATCTTTCTTTTAAATAGGGATAAGAACAGGAGCATCCACCCAGATTCGCAAACAATGAACAAACACCATCAAAACAACACACCAAGAAAACGTTTTGCGCCATATCATCCTACGGGCAACGGTCGAGTGAAACCACCCATCCATAAGTTAGTACTTAACACCATAAAGGGAAAAGTCTGTATAGACTGGGACTGGGTCACCAGCCCGGAAAACATACGAATCTCTCCAACAAGTTGGTACTAAACGCCATAGAGGGAAAAGTCTGTATAGACTGGGACTAGGTCACCAGCCCAGAAAATATACGAATCTCTCTAATAAGTTGGTACTTAACGCCATAGAGGGAAAAGTCTGTATAGACTGAGACTGGGTCACCAGCCCGAAAAACATACTAATCTCTCCAGCATGCAGATAGAACACGTGTGAGAAGCTCACCCGCATGCTCGACAAAGTAACTATGCGATGACACAACTAGCTAAATTTTGATTTCGCACACATTAAGACGTCCCAAATCTTGGGCGAGACATTCGTCGCCTGGTCTATCAACTACCTCTCCAGGCAGGGCGATGAAGGGACTAGAGAGACTGGGACTCGAATGTATGTGTGTGTCGTACAACAACATATAGTCTTCTCCAATGAATAAGCAAAGCAGCATACCGAATTCTTATGTAACTCTACAAAGTTTACACATCACGCCAACATAGAAAACGTACATTCGACCTTGATCAAATTCATTAAGAGTCAAATTCGACCTCGCTCTAATTAGCGAGTCAAATTCGACCTCGCTCTAATTAGCGCGCCAAATTCAATCTCGCTCGAATTAACGAGTCAAATTCGACCTCGATCGAATTAGCAAGATAAATTCGACCACGCTCGAATTAACAGATTAAAATTCGACTTCGCTCGAATTAGCAAGTCAAATTCGACTTCGCTCGAATTAGCAAGTCAAATTCGACCTCGCTCAAATTAGCGGGTCAAATTTGACCTCGATCGAATTAGTAAGATAAATTTGACCTCGCCCGAATTAACAAATCAATTCGACCTCGCCCAAATTAACAAACCAAAATTCAACTTCGCTCGAATTAGCAAGTCAAATTCGACCTTGCTCGAATTAGCGGGTCAAATTCGACCTCGACCGAATTAGCAAGGTAAATTCGACCGCGCTTGAATTAACAAATCAAAATTCAACTTCGCTCGAATTAACAAGTCAAATTCGACTTCGCTCGAGTTAACAAGTTAGATTCAACCGCACTCGAATTAGCAAGTCAAGTTCGACCTCGCTCGAATTAGCAGGTCAATTTCGCCCCCACTCGAATTAATTACCAAAAGTCATGGACTTATCGCGAGAAGATTCAAGAAATTCAAAAAAAGAAAAGAAAAAAAGGCCAAAGATATACGATCAAGGACGAATCGACTATTTCATTCAAAGGGAAAATAGCGTCTTACAAAGGGCCAAAAGGGGGCCCCCCCTAACCAACTAAGTACAAAAAACTAAGTACAAAAGGAAAAATTAAGTACAAAAGTACAAAAGCTTCACTTAGCATTATCCCCATCCACGCCGTCATCTCTCGCTCCACTTGGTTCAACGACTTTTCCTCCGCCATCACCCTCTCCATCAGAATGTTCATCATCTAAGGCAAGCCCGTCCTCAGCCTCATCGTCTCTATCAGCCTCCGGTGTCGGGGGGTCATAGCCGGAGGAAAGCTGGGCCTCACGCGCTTTAACATAGACTTCTTCAAAAACGGCTTCCAGAACATTCCCCGCAGCCAACAAGCCTTTACATATATACCGTTGAGCCTCAGCATGGATCCACATCTCGTACAAATGGCGAGGAACGGACGCGGGAGGAGTCGAAGCCAACAATCATGCCCTCTCAGCCTCGAGAGTGACAATTTGATCACCCATGCTCGAGACATCTCTTTCAAGCCTACCAATCCGCTCATCAAGTCGCGCCTCCTTCAGAGCGGCCGTTTCCATTTCAGTTGCCCGTTCAGACCTAAGAACGTGGATAGAATATTCCAATGTCGCGACCCTCGCCAAGGCTGCTGCTCGGCCTCTCTCAGCCCTCTTCAGCTCGGCCGCCTTCCTTTCTAACTCGGTCACCTTCTCTGTCAATTCAACACTCAGCCTAAAGATTAACGCACTCAGCCGTAACCCCCTTGC